CATTTATAACCATTCAAATTCACTGTCACATAATACTATACTGTTTCACAGGTAGTGCAAGAGCATTATTATAAAATAATTCTAGCTCAGTTGGTTAGAGCATGCTGTTAAAACAGCAGGGTGAAAGGTTTGGACACCCATACTGGCCAGCCACCCAATAAATAAATAAATAATTCTAATTCCTACTGCCCCTTTTATCATTGCTGTCATTCACTTCACTTATATATAGGTATACATATATACATAAGCATATGTAATTGAATAGACTGTTGCTATTATTATTATTATGAACTATTATGTTAGAGCAATTAAAAATAAGAAAAAAAGTTTTTATTTTACCTTCACTTGTTCCTTCTCCAGTGCTCTTTCTTTATTTATGTAGATCTGAGTTTCTGACCTATATCATTTTTCTTCTTTCAAAGAACTTCTTTTAACACTTTTTATATGGCAGATCTACTGGCAGCAAATTCCCTCAATTTCTGTTTGTTTGAGAAAGCCTTTATTTCTCCTTCAGTGCTGAAGGATGACAGAATTCTATATTGGTGGGTTTTTTCTCAATGCTTTAAATATTTCAATCACTCTTGCTTGCATAGCTTCTGAGAAGTCAATGTAATTCTTTTCTTTCTTCTCTATAGATAAGGTTTTTTTCCTTTGGCTTCTTTCAGGATTTTTTCTCTATCTTTGATTTTCTGTAGTTTGAAAATAATCTTAGGTATAGTTTTTTGGGATTTATCCTGTTTGTTCTTCTTTGAACTTCAATTCTCAGTCATAATTGTTTCAAATATTTTTTGTTTCCTCCTTCTGGTGTTCCTGTTATGTGTGTGTAGCACCTTTTGTAGTTGCCCTGCAGTTCTTGGATATTCTGTTTGGTTTTATGTTGTTTTTTCAGTCTTTCTTCTCTTTGCTTTTCAGTTTTAGAGGTGTTCACTGAGATACCCTCAAATTCAGATATTCCTCCTCAGCCATTTCTAGTCTATTAATATGCCAATCAAAGGCATTCTTCATTTTCTTTATTTATCTCTAGCATTTCTTTTTGGTTCATTCTTAGCATTTCCATCTCATGGTTACATTGTCCATCTGTTCTTGCACACTGTCTGCTTTATCCATTACAGCCACTAGCATATTAATCATAATTGTTTTAAATGCCCAGTCTGATAATTCTAACATCCCTGCTATATTTGAGCCTGGTTTTTTTTGGCTAAATGACTTACGTTCTGTTTTCACTCTGTGTGGACCCAGTGTAGCCATTGCCTTAATTAAAAAAATAAAATAAAAAAGGAAGAAAGAAATTGTCTGAGTTTACACTGAAAATACAAGGGGGTCTTCAAAAAGATCATAAAAAGATTCATATTATCTTTTTTTTTTCCTTTTTGTCTTTTTTCGTGACCGGTAACAGGATCGCAACCCTCGGTGTCGCACCCGTACCATGACCGGCAATGGGATTGCAACCCTCGGTGTCGCGCCCGCACCGCGCTCAACCAGTGAGCGGACCGGTCTCTATATGGGATCCGAACCCTCGGCGGGAGCGCCGCCACACTCCCAAGCGCCGCACTCTACCGAGTGCGCCACTGGGCCGGCCCTTGAGCCTGGTTTTGATGCTTGCTCAGTCTCTTCAAACAGTGCCTTGCATGTCTTGTAATTTTTTGTTGAAAGGTGGACATGATGTACTGAATAAGATGAACTGCTGTAAATAGGCCTTTTGTAATTTGGTGGTAAGGTATGGGGACAGGAGAAGCATTTTATAGGCCTATGATTTGGTCTCAGTCTTTTTATAGCCTGTGTCTCTGGATTGTGAACTTCACCAGTGCTTCTTAGCTGTAGTCCCTACCTTAGGTAGGACAGAATGGCTGCAAGTGCTAGAGTTAGGTACTTCCCTTCTCCCAGGTCAGTAAGGCTCTGATAAAGTCCTAGCAGGTTAGAAACTAGTCAAATAGTTTCTCCTGAGGGCAGAATGCTCTAGCATATTTTAAAATGGTTCCTTTTGTCCCCTCTCTGGTACTATGAGGTGGAGGTGGTAGATCTGTAGGAGGTAAAACTCACAAAGGCATCCCCTTCCTAGACCTCCATGACTGGGTCCCCCTGGAATTTTTATCTCTAAGACTTGTCCACACTGAGCCTCCAGCAGTTCACCAATTACAATTCAGGTTTTTCTACCCTGCACTGGTTCCATAGAGGTTTCAACTCCTGGGTTTTTGCTCCTGTAAATTGTGATTCTCTGCATTTGCCTGTCTGTCTTACCAATTTGGAGGATAGTGGTTTGCCCTGTGACCTCATTTCTCTTACAGATCTAAGAAGTGTTGTTGATTTTCAGTTTGTTCAGCTTTTTACTTGCTGTTAGGTTGGAGTGGTGACTTCCAAGTTTCTTTTTTTTTTTTTTTTTTTTTTTTTTTTTTTTTTTTTTTCCGT